CCACTCCCCCTGCTTGTGTTCCCTCTCTCGCTGTGTCTCTGTCAAATAAACAAAATCTTTTTAAAAATAAATAAATAAAAACATATTACATTATATGTAAACCTGCCAACTTACAAAATTCTAGAAAACACAAAAACATACGAGCACATATTCCATTAACCATCAGAGTGATAATGTTACCATGTCACATAGCCTCTGGAAAACTCCACTGTACACTGACGAGAGAATGAGAGTGAAAAAAACAAATAATACCTTAGTAATTTTAAGAAAATAGTGTGGACCTCACACACAGCCTAAAAAGTTCCCAGGGATTCCCAGGGGTCCAGAGACCACATTTTAAGAACTGGTGGTATAAGCTGTTATGACCTCAGGCAAATCTCTTAACCTCGTTAAGCCTCAGTCTGTAAAATGACGGTAATGATAATACCAACTGAAGTAGGCTTTGTAAAGATTAATGAGTTAATACTCGGGGCGCCTGGGTGGCTCAGTCGGTTAAGCGGCTGACTTCAGCTCAGATTATGATCTCAGGGTCCTGGGATCGAACCCTGCATCGAACCCTGCATCGAACCCTGCATCGGGCCTGCTTGAAATTCTCTCTTTCCCTCTGCGCCCCCGCCACTTGCGTGTGAAATCTTTAAAAAAAAGAGTTAATACACAAATGAGAAGTGTGAGCATCCCGCAAACATTAGCTGTTATTTGTGAAACATTATTTAACAATTTGATATGATACGTGCTTAAACGCATAGGGAGTAGTAACCTCTGGATGATGAAATTTGTTTTTAAATCAACATTTAGGGGTGCCTGGGTGGCTCAGTCGTTAAGCGTCTGCCTTCAGCTCGGGTCATGATCCGTGGTCCTGGGATCGAGCCCCGCGTCGGGCTCCCGGCTCAGCAGGAAGCCTGCTTCTCCCTCTCCTGCTCCCCCTGCTTGTGTTCCTGCTCTCACTGTCTCTCTCTCTGTCAAATAAATAAATAAAATCTTTAAAAAAAAATTTTTTTTAATAAATAAATCAACATTTAAACTGAAGTATAAAATACATGTTGAAAAGAGCATAACGGGTATAGCTGGATGACTTGGCACAAGGTGAATGTATTTGATCTTTTGTTTAAAAGAGCATTTTAGGGGCCCCTGGGTGGCTCAGTTGGTTAAGCGGCTGCCTTTGGCTCAGGTCATGATCCCAGGGTCCTGGGACTGAGCCCCACATCAGGCTCCTTGCTCCGCAGGGAACCTGCTTCTCCCTCTCCCTCTGCCTGCGTGCCGCTCCCCGTTCTTATGCTCTCTCTCTCACTCTCTCTCTGTGTCAAATAATCTTAAAAAATAAATAAATAAAAGAGCATTTTATTAACAACAACAAGAAAGCTATTAATAAAAACAGCCCCAATGGCAACCCTTTCTCTCGCCTGTAGTGTCTTGGCGTATCCATGTTCCCTGGAGGCATCAAGGGAGAATCTGAGAGGTCTCCTCACTCAGTACACACCCCTGGTGCCATGGGGTTCCCTTCAGCTCCAGGGAGAGAGTGCGGCGCAGGAGTGAACCCGAACGAGCTTTGGGTCTTTATGAAGCTGGATTCTCATCAGTGTCCACTGTAGTAAATTCTGAAGCTCACTTAAACATAACCACGACAAGAAGTGACTTTTATTATGTTTCTACCATGGGTATGGAGTTTGTCTGGGGCTAACTCCTTGTGTCCCCTCCCAAAAAATCAAGATGATTCTCCCATGACGAAGTTTCTTATATAACAACACAGATCTTGTGTGATAATTGCAGTGAGAGACCGTTTTTCCTCTTCCTCTTCGAGGAGCTGACGGTGAAGTCAGTGTCTCAAAAACCGGCTGGAGGGATGGGAGCTGCAATTTATTTCAGGGCAGAATGAATTGCTAAGTGATAATATTAAAGGAGATCTGATTATAAACACAAGTAGCAAATCTTCCAACATGTACCCCATTACAATTAGGTGGGAGGGGATCCCGAATCTTGGAAAATTCTTACAAATTTCTACAACTGACAAGGTTCTAGGAAACACAAAAATACACAAGTACATGCTCCATTAACCATTGGAGTGAAGATGTCACTATGTCACGTAGCCTCTGGAAAAATCCACTGTACAGTCGTGAAAGAAGGAGAGTGAAAAAGGTAAATTACTTGTGAAAAATTACTTACTAATACAATAGGTTCTTAAATGCACAGTTACCTCTAAATTTTAAATAACAGCATCTCCAATTCTATTAAGAATTTAGGACTTGGGGGTGCCTGGCTGGTTCAGTTGGTAGAGCACGCAGCTCTTGATCTCAGAGTTGTGAGTTCAAGTCCCATGCTGGGTGTAGAGATACTTAAAAAAAATAAATCTTTATATTAAAAAAAAAAAGAGGGGCGCCTGGGTGGCTCAGTCATTAAGTGTCTGCCTTCAGCTCAGGTCATGATCCCAGGGTCCTGGGATCGAGCCCCACATCAGGATCCCTGCTCAGCGGGAAGCCTGCTTCTCCCTCTCCCACTCCCCCTGCTGTGTTCCCTCTCTCGCTGTCTCTCTCTCTGTCAAATAAATAAAAATCTTCAAAAAAAAAAAAAAAGAATTTAGGATTTGATAAAGTTACACTTTCCAAAGATAAAACTTAAAAAAAAAAAAAGATTTACTGGAAACACAGGTCATAATCTCTGACATTGAAAACAAGATATCTTTACTTCCTGGCCAAGGCTGCCAGGCGGCAGGTGCTGGAAAGAAACCAGTAAGAGAGAAGTGCTGGGATGAGATGAGGACACTGACCTCCGCTGTCAGCTCCACTATTCAGTATGATCCCTTGGAGCACTCCTTCCCAAGTGCCATCTAACCACTGATGGTAAACAAGGTAAAACCTCAACTTAAATAAAAAAAAAAAAATGAATGTTCCTAGTAGAAAGCATCTGGAGAAAAAACCACCTGCAGGCACTCACATGTAAGGTCTGGATGAATGATACAGCTATGCTAGGGAGTCAGTGAGGGCAACACCATATCCCAACACACCCCGACGAAGGGGGTCAAGCTAAAACTGTATGATAATACTAGAGAAAAACACAGCGGAAGCCATGCTGGGAGCCCCCTCCGTCCACTGGTCTGTGGCAAGGAAGGAGCTTCTGCAGCTGACCCTGCCCCAGGGAACTCTGCATCCTCCTGACAATATTGTCACTGTTTCTACTGCTGCTGCCCATAAAAGAGCTATGATGCCATGACTCCATCAGGGGCCTGGGAAGGCTGGAGGGTAGGGTAAGGTAAGGAACGGTAACCTAACAAATATAAAAGAGTTCAACTTCAGAAGAAAGAGGACAGACCAAAGTAAAAGATAAAAACTTTAAGTTATTTTGCTAAAGATAAAATTCTGAGTAGTAAAGGAACTGAAAGCAGGATCGCGAAGAGATCCCTATACACCCATGTTCGTAGAGCACTATATTCACAACAACCAAGACGTCAAGGAACCCCAGTGTCCAGTGGTGGCTGAATGGATAAACAAAACGTGGGGTATACGTGCAAGGGAATATTATTCAGCCTTTTTTAAAGGAAGGTAATTTTGACCAATGCTACAACATGGATGAACCTTGAGGATGTTTTGCTAAGTGCAATACGCCAGTCACAAAAAGACAAATACTGTATGATCCCACTTATATGAGGAATCCAAAGTAGACAAATTCACAGAAAGAAAGTAGAGGGGTGGCTGCCAGGGACCTGAGGGAAAGGGAAATGGAGAGTTGTTTAACAGGTATAGTTTCAGATTTGCAAGATGAGAAAGTTCTGGAGATGTTTCAGAACAATGTTAGTACACTTAACAATGCTGAACTGTACACTAACAAATGGTTAAAATGGTTAACTGTACACTAAAAAATGGTTAAAACCTGTACACTAACAAATGGTTAAACCTTCTGGGTAGTGATTAAAAGTTAAGGTACAGGGGCACCTGGGTGGCCCAATTGGTTGAGCATCTGCCTTTGGCTCAGTCGTGATCCCAGAGTCCTGGGATGGAGCCCTGCATCCAGCTCCTTGCTCAGCAGGGAGTCTGCTTCTCCCTCTCCCTCTGCCCTTCCCCTCGGCTCATGTGTTCTCTTGCCTGTGTGCTCTAGCTCTCTCTCACTCTCAAATAAA